AATCACATCTCCGCAGCCCCCCTTCTCCAATCATATCTCTGCAGCCCCTCCTTCTCCAATCACATCTCTGCAGCCCCTCCTTCTCCAATCATATCTCCGCAGTCCCCCTATTCTCCAATCATATCTGCTCAGCGTTCTCCAATCGCATCTCCATGGACACCAGGTTCCCAATCACATCTGCATGGCCCCCACTTCTTCAATCAAATCTCTGCAGCCACCCCTTCCCTGGCCGGCAAGTGCTGGGCCCCCCAGGCTGAGGCCCCAGTGCACACGCACCGGCGGTAGTTCCGCCACTGCGTACACTTGGCACCCATCATGGATTGGCTGGAAAAATTCCAGACCTCACTGGATTCGGTCACACATGGATACAACTCTGATTATAAGGTGTCTCAGTCTATCTTGTTCCTCTACCCCACCAATGCTGGTCCTTAGGTGACACTGGACTTTGTGTTATTGACAAGGGTCCCCCGAAAATAAGACCTACCCCAAAAATAAGACCTAGTACTATTTTTGGGAATTGCTCAAATATAAGACCTACCCTGAAAATAAGACCTAGTTGTGATACTTCCCAGGGCCGGTGGTGGCATAAGGGGGAACTTGAAGAGCCACAGGGGAGAATCAGCGGTGCCAACTAAGCCAGCACTAGAGGAAGCAAGGCGGCACTTCATTATATATGCATCATGTGCATGATTTTTCCATATATGGCATTAGTGGAAATATGCTTTTAGAGACTTTTTGGTTGATAAATACGTTTTGCTGTGTGAAAATCACACACACCTGGTGTGTGTGTGTGTTTAGGTTAGTAAATCAACCCCAATGTCTTATTTTCGGGGAAACATGGTATCTTAAGTGGTAATGCTTCTTCCCTTACTTCTTCTACCCTGTTCTGCCCAAGCATTGCTAAAGGATGTTACACTGGACTGAACTAACAGTTTCTATAGGATTTGTTCTGTATGAATGAGTAGAGACCTCAGATAATGGTCTCCAGGATTTTCATTTGTTCCAGGTTTGGAGAGTTGGAGATTAAAACCATTATGTTACAATAACTGATTACTATAAAGAATATAACTTATGAATACTATCTTTCTATTGTACTATTTCCTAATAAGGGCATGAATATATGAAAGCACAGTATGTATTCTGTAACTGCAGTATCATATGTAGTTGTCGCGATCTGGGATCAGGCTCAGAGTCCAGTAGCTGAAGCAGCAGACAATTCGTACTATAACAGGCCGGGTTTGGTACACAAGCAGAGGGTTGTAATGGAGGAGAAGGCAGAAGCGCAGTCACCGAACAAGCCGAGGTCAGGAGCCAAAGGTATCCGGTATGTAGCAGGAGACGGGGAGAGTAGTCGTTGAATCAGCAGCCAAAGGTCGGTACACGGGTAGCAGTATGAGTAGATTGTAGCACGCAGGGAGCAGGAAGCAAGATATTGGCAGGAGCACAATAATCTGGCAAACAGGAAGTGCAGAGGCATGGCTTAAATAGGAAGTTCAAGGGAGGAGCAAGGAGTTCAGAGTTCAGCAGAAATGAGGTTTAACTGAGGATTACACAGAAGATCAGGCAAGGAGCTATCCAAGGTTCTAAGGTGGCTCAGCAGGTAGAGCCACCGCCAGCTACAGCAGAGGCCCTGGGTTCAGATCTGGTTCCTGATAGTAGTATTAATGAAATTATTATTGATAGCGGAATTCCTTGAAAGTGCTTTAAGTTTTAGTATGCGCTGAAGGGGAATATCCCATCCCCCTCCTCTACTGGTCAACTGGTAACAAACAGATTCAATACTGCCTCAATGTGCTACATAGATCTGCACTGTGCTATCATTGTACTCTAACTTCTGGACACGCAAAACTGACTCATGCCAATAACTTTCTTCTCTACAATACATTTTTTTAAATTATTTATATTTTGTTAAGTTTTCTTATCCTGTGATCATTTACTATTAGAAATATTTTTTATTTTTGTACGAGTACGGAAGTACATTTTATCACTGTGCGCTATTCGCCTTTAAATTTACTTTTTCAAAGCTCAGGAAGTTCCAGAGATAAAGTCTAACGAAGGACCACTGATCAGCTCACCAAGAGCCTCGTAGTATGGCCCCCCACTGCATGCTGTGGGGGATCTTCAGAGATCTAGATTTCACTTAGTCAGGACAACAAGAAGAAACACTGAGCTGGTTTGTTCAAGAAGACTTTCTTATTGAATTCTTCACACAACAGAGAATACACTCAATGCACCAGAACATTTGACTCTATCAGACATGACTTTTTTCTATTACTATTTGACTTGAACTAAACTTTATTCTGGCAGCTCAACACAAACCAGAGAGTCCACATGTGAAGATCTACATCATCAATATATCAGGCAGATAGACTATTTTTCTTAACAAGTATTTTACATTTTTGGTTGACCGTACCCCTTGGTAAACATAATAGCTAAACAATCTATTTTTCCTCACATATCAAATATAATTCAAGGTTGAAGAACCTTCAGAGGAGAAATTATCTAGAAGTGTAGATAACCTGAGGAAAATGTGAGTTCTTAATGTTACAGAATATACAGGGTTATGGGAGTTTGCCTATAAAGAATGATAATATCAATAATAATAATATAACGATGTCCCAGCATATACTTACCGTGTAGTTCAGTTAGTGCCGAGGTTATGGATAGCTGGAGGTCTTCAAGTAAATGTGTACTCTACAATGCACGGAGTTGGTTTATATAATAAAGGAGAGTGAGTCAGGTAATCCGAGGTTATATTTAATGTTTAATGTACAAGTCACATCTTTCTGAAGAACACATAACTGATATCACATGTATTCATTAAAATATTTACCTGCTATGCCTCCAGGTGGGAGAAATATCAGCACCACATAAGCAATGTGATTACCTCCTGATCTCCTAACTAGACGGTTTTAATCTATAATAGATTTAAGTGGAATTCCAACCAAAACATTTTATTTTGTTTTATAGAACATGGAGTCTGTTTGGGCAGTTGTTTACTCCTGTCTAGGTGTTCGGACAGTTGTCAACTAAAAGAAAATTCCCAGGGAAGGAATATGAAGGGTTCTATTGTCAAAGAGTTTTTACAAGTGCAGGCTCCCATTGGGTTCTCTGAGTTGGGGTTAGGAGTTAAGCAGATCACACTGCTCATCTTAGGAGGCCTCGTTCGTCTGGTAGTCCACTTTTCATGACATTTCTCCTGGGTACCAGACCTAAGAGCTGTCCTCTCAGACTGGCCATTTTTTTTGGGCTGTCACACTCTTCTATGGCTGTCCTCAATTTTATCCATTACCACACACTTACTGCACTTCCAGCTGCACAGATTTCATTACGTGCTCATGAAACTTTACTTGTCAAGAAGTATGGGTCTTCTAAAGCTTCCAAGGGGACCTGAAATCCCAGAATGTGCACGGTCCCTCGCCCATTTTGCCCCTGAACAGGAAACTATATGATGAGTCCCCACCACATCCTCCACCACAGCGCACTGTTACTTCAACGAGGCAAGGTTTCCTCCAATCATAAAACAGAACCTCTGTTGCTATACTATGTTGGGTTTAATGGGGCCAAACTTTGTAAGGATGCTTTACAAAATGGTGGGTTTGTGTACAGCCATTAGTGTTCAAAGTTAAAAATGCATTTCTAATGAGAGAAAGCAAATTACCCTACAAAATGGTATAATGAATGCACAGATGTGGCTAGAAAGAACAGGAAGTATTAATACCAATGTCAAAAACAGCATGAAGAAAAATGTACACACAGGGTCCTAGCTGGTATAGGGGTGGTTGATTGCAAGTCTTCTTCCATGCAGCAGCCTGCAGGTAGGCAAGGGTTCTGAAAATCCTTATTGGCTGCCCATGAGACAGTCCACCAAGCAAAGAACAAGAAGAGAACTGATGTCTAGCTGAGGTCGATACGGTGAGGCAATGTTCTTGGAAAGAAACAGGACCAGACAAGGTCAGGATCTATAGAGGAAGTGAAATGATCTGTGCAAGCTCAGTGGGATTTGAAGGATCACAACTGCGGAGGTAAGTGAGGATGGTTCAGGTGGAGGGTTCACAGTCACACTTTAAGGTAATGAGTGAAGTCGGAACCCCTATCACATCATACACCATCAGTTTAGCAGTATACTAGTAGAAGCAGGTAACTTTCCACAGACAACAATTAAATAGCATTGGGGCCTGTTGAGATAGATATATATCTATAGATATATATCTATATATATATATAGGTATATAGATATATAGAGATATATAGAGATATATATATATATAGTTAGAATACACTAGTTCACTTCACTAGCACTAATGAATACCTGCAACGCCAGAGTAGTACTTAGGGTTTGACAGACCTAAGTGCGGTTATGGCAAGGTTAATACGCAAGGATTGGTTAACGTCACTAATCCTGAGCAATGATATCACAATATGTTAGCATCATATAACAGTCCTATGCAGCAGTAGATTTTGGAGAGAGTAGGCAGGATAGTGGAAGTTCCCACCACTGTACCAGCATCAACACAGCAATGGTTTGTATGACATGTGCTAATGGCTACTTGCTGTTTTGGTTGAGAGTCCCAGTAAGAGGAGGTGCTCCTGGATCCAATCGTTGCCCAGGCTCCAAGAGTGAGTAGGAGGACAAGCTGTCCCAGTATGTCCTATGCAGGTCCTAGGTAGCTTGCTCGACGTACTACTTTGCCAGAATGCCGATCAAGTGGTCAGCCTACATTTTTGTAGGCAGAGAGCGGTGTTTGGGGGCGGAGCCGTAGGCGAAAAACCGACCAGAGCGTCTCCTAGCAACGGGACGCCGCTGGGCCGAACCTGCCACGTCATCATGCCGTCTCAGCTGACGTGCGGGGGGAGGAGTAGACCGCTGAGGACAGCCCGCCCGTCGCCCGGCAACGAGGCACTGCTGGCGGGGCCGGCATTGCCATGGTCTCGGGATCCGGAGCGTTGTTCGTTCCTGACAGGAACAAACAGAATCAGAGAAAAGTAGGAACTTGGAGACATACAACCTCAGTCAGGAGAACTGCAGGATGTTATGTTAGCTTTATGCAGTCTGGGAAATTTTTATACAGTATATCATCAATCAATGCATGTGCTAAGACTTATGAGATCTAGGCAAGTGCTAATTTAATCACAATGTCTATAGTTCTATCTGTGACTGTGTGGGTCATGTGAGGCAGTGGGGCTGATTTACGAAGCCCAACACGCACACGCGCTGGGGGGGGAGCTAAGGCATTTTTGGGGGTTCATCATCTTGTGCAGAGTGTCAAAAATGTCATGTTTTTAATATATTATTAGCATGTACATGCCTGGATATGAGCGCAATACACGCGCGATATGAGAATATATGCGCGCATAGACGACTACTTGCGCGCAGGATTTTCGCAGGTGCATATGTACCATTTGGAAGCCATTCACAACAGCATAGAAATGATGTACACATTTCGATTTGTGTCATTGGCATATATGTACTGTTGTTGTTATATTTTTGTGTCTGTAGATTTATCAGTTTTCTGATTTTGGCCAGGATGTTTGCATTGCTGTATGTGGATTAATTCTACTCACTTGATGCAGGATTTGAACCGGGGAAATAGGTGTTGTGTGGCAGGTCCTCTAACCGCTCAGCCACTGGGCTTCCCTTTGCTGTTGGTTGTTGCACATCCCTATGGAATCCTCTGCATTTTAACGCGCCATGCGCACGCGTTGGTAGTATTTATCAAGCATCTGTATAACCTGCATACGTTTCCGCGCCAAGCGTATACGCGCACGCGCACGCGCGCGCGCAATCGGCGTGTTTATGCATGGCGTGTTTGTGAGGTTAGTAAATCAACCCCAGTGGCTCAAGCAATAAGTCCAGCACCCTACAAATATAGTGCCCCGAGACTGAGACCAGATGGAACTTGAACACCGTGTGCCGTATATGAAGAGTACTGAAACTTAATTGTCTGCTTTTTAGGCTTGAATGGGAAAAAAGAACTTGTGGCCAATTTCTCCCACACCTGCATCCCACACAACATGCTGCTTCAGGTGTCTGCTCACATTTTCTGATCCTTGGCATTATATCCTTTGAGAGGAAATGGTGACCATAATTTGCCTACATAGGCTCTGGCTTGATTCCTCTTGGTCAGTGAAGCCACTATCACAATTGATGGCCAATGGATAGCCTCAAGGAACCAGAGTAGGCACACTGGAGCTCAGCCCAGGAAGCGATGGTCATTATTTGCATACTAGATAGCCCCGGGTTTTTGGGATCCTGAGCCTCCCTACTGGGCTCTCATGTAAGTGTGTGTTGAAGGGAGAATATTTAAACATTGGTATTGGCAATGAAATAATAAGTCGTGTGTGTCATGTAATAAGTCACATTGACGAAAGAAAACCTGCTTTGAGAGGAAAATGTAAGCTTAGATCTCTAAACCCCCCTTCCAAAGTGCTAGTTGGTTGGTTTAGTTCAGTTCAGAGACAGCCGATCAATCATCATATTGAGAAGGAAGGAGGTCAGTAATGGCAGTGCCTTGTATTTCTCTCAGGACAGTCCTCCTTTAACATTCCCCGTTGTTTATTATTCTCAGCTATTATTTCTATCTGAAGTCACAACCTTCTTACAACACGTATCATGTTCAACTGAAGCATAATAAGTTTATTTCAGATAAATATATTTATTACATTCAACATTTACTCATTAGAGCGTTGTGTGTGTGTGTTGAGGCTCCAACAAAGCCTAAGGAGATGTTCAGTTCCCACTAATACACCTTTATTACTCTGATCACACATGGAGAGATAAATCCAGAGGAATATACAGGAAGGGAAAAGGGTCCATTAGTAAGAACATTACCAAGATATTTATTTTTATATTTTTGCAGGGCGGACGAGGTGTTGTTCTGGATTTCAAAACATATAAATACAAGCGCATGTTCCCATCCAGTAGCATTCCTCTTGTTCTAAGTATCTTTGCAACTCCATGTCTGTTGGTCCCAGTAGGGCATAGTAATCATCAGTTACAGTTCAGAAGTCCCTCTAGAGCAGGGGTCTCAAACTCAATTCACTCGGGGGCCACTCGACAAATGTTTTTCTCTCATGGGGGCCGCTTGCCAAATTTCATACTTTAAAATAAAATTGAACCATATCCAGTTTGGTACTACGAACACTAATATACACACCCATACATATCTGTAAGTTTATGTGCGATTACGGATTCCTGCGTCAGACACTTGCGTTTTCCTGCAGCAGGAATGACTAATCTGGTATTCACAAGCGGCCGCTGTCGCACATTCAAGTTAATGATCAGGTGACAACAGTTGCATGTAAACGCCTGCACACCGCATGTAATGGTATGTGATATTGGGCCATGTAAGCATCTGCGCTCAAAAGTGCTAACCCCTGGAACATTCTGATGTGTTTTGCACTATGGCACAGAGCTTTCTCATCAACAAGTGGACCCAACTAGAAGGAAGCATGAAGAGGGGATGTCAACATATTCGTATCAGGAGTTCCCATCACCTTATCCTAGGTAAGATGCAGATAAGCTGAATATTAGACTCATGTCCTCCTGGAGGTGTGGAGGGCGGATTCAGGATTGGGATTACACCTCCAGGAGGACATGAGTCTAATACCCAGCTTATCTGCATCTTACCTAGGATAAGGTGATGGGAACTCTTGATAAGAATATGTTGACATCCCCTCTTCATGCTTCCTTCTAGTTGGGTCTACTTGTTGATGAGAAAGCTCTGTGATATAGTGCAGAACACATCAGAATGTTCAAGGGGTTAGCACTTTTGAGCGCAGATGCTTACATGGCCCAATTTCTTCTTTCTACAGTGATTTAGATACTCCTAAACGTTTTGTAAAACGCACATACATGACCAAATGGGAGCAAGACCTGGGCTTGACTCTTATTCACTCTGATTGGTCTCTTATTTGGACTCAAGTGTCGAAAATCTCATATAACGTAATAGCTTTGGAAAATTAATATAAGGTCTTCATGAGATGGTATCTGATGCCAGACAGGGTTTCCAGATTTGCCCCCACGGTACCTCCTGATTGCTTTAGAGGGTGTTCTTCATGTGGCACTATGTTGCATATCTGATGAGAAGGCCCCAAAGACCAGAGGCTATGGAATCCGGTACATCATTTTCTTAGGTCCGTTTTGCATTGTATGCTGTCACGTAATCCATGGGAGGCCCTACTAAACAAGAAGATTACAAAGCCTGAGGGTGCGCTGGCCCAGTATAACTTTTGGCTACCAGCAAACGATTGCTAAAGCCTGGAGGAAGCCTGCCTTAAATTATAACGAGGTCAAGAAAAGGATTATAGATACTATGATCAATGACAAACTCACTGCCACTCTTAATGATACTTACAAAAAATACCTTAAAGGAGAACTATGAGGCGAGTGCTTTTCACTCTTCCTCATAGTTCTAGCCGGCCTGTGACAATGAGACTGTCACAGGTCGGCTCAGTAGATCGGGAAGTGAGCGAATACATACCGGCGTTCGCTCAATACTCAATCCTATCACTGCTCTCTGCCGTGACAGGGGAGGGACTGGATTCCCCCTCCCCGTTCCGATCCTCCAGCGCTGACTGGCGGAACGGACGGTGGGAGGGGGCGGAGACAGGTGGCTCTGCCTCTAGATAGACAGAGCCAGCTGTCACTCACGCAGCTGTGCGGATCCAGACATAATTGTCGGGATTAGTTTCAGCTGCGGCGTCTCAGTATACCGGGAGCTGTAGCTCGCGGTATACTGAGCTTAGGGTGATGGGAGGACGCTAGTTTGTGTCCTCCCGTTACCTTAAGGAGAACTATGGGGAAAAGCCCTAACCCCGTAGTTCTCCTTTAAGGTTTGGTCACCGTGGGTGGAAAATACCTCCAAGGCACAGAATTTAATGCGGTTTATTACATGTGTGACCCTTCCACCCTCACCTTGGGAGCCCTTCCCTTTTCCTGGTGATACCCCTTCTACCATTCTCTCCCTCTCCTTCTTTCTCTTTTCTTACTTTTTCTCACTCTTCCACTTTTCTTTTCCTGTACTCTCCTTCTTTTCCATCTTATTCTTTTCTTCTTTGCTCTTCTCTTCTTATTCTAAAGTACTTTTCACACTTAGCACCACGCAGTGTGCTGCACGGATTTGTTACTCACCCATTTTAACTGCACTGGGAAGTGGTTTTTCATTTTTTTTTTTCTACAGAATTCTGTTATTCTTCTTACTGTTACTTCAAAATGATAATTTAATTCTCCCACCTACAGGTATATCATGTTCTGATTTCTTTTTGTGTCTACTTTCAGTTGTGCCTTGGATTTTTTTTCCCCATGTTTACATTCCTCTTTTTTATTGTTGTTTATGCTTTAAAACTTCAATAAAAAGATTGTAAAACCAAAGTTTTGTCTGGAATTCCACTTCAATCTATTGGAAGTGCAGTAAGTGAGTGGTAATGGATAAAATTGAGGACAGCCATAGAAGAGTGTGACAGCCCAAAAAAAATGGCCAGTCTGAGAGGACAGCTCTTAGGTCTGGTACCCAGGAGAAATGTCATGAAAAGTGGACTACCAGACGAACGAGGCCTCCTAAGATGAGCAGTGTGATCTGCTTAACTCCTAACCCCAACTCAGAGAACCCAATGGGAGCCTGCACTTGTAAAAACTCTTTGACAATAGAACCCTTCATATTCCTTCCCTGGGAATTTTCTTTTAGGGGAAACTGACCAAACACTTAGACAGGAGTAAACAACTGCCCAAACGGACTCCATGTTCTATAAAACAAAAAAAAAACATTTGGCTGGGTTTCCACTTAAATCTATTATAGATTAAAACCGTCTAGTTAGGAGATCAGGAGGTAATCACATTGCTTATGAGGTGCTGATATTTGTCCCACCTGAAGGCATAGCAGGTAAATATTTTAATGAATACATATGATATCAGTTATGTGTTATTAAGAAAGATGTGACTTGCACATCAAACATTAAATATAACCTCGGATTACCTGACTCACTCTCCTTTATTATATAAACCAACTCCGTGCCTTGTAGAGTACACCTTCACTTGAAGACCTCCAGCTGTCCATAACCTCGGCACTAACTGAACTACACAGTAAGTAAATGCTGGAACATCGTTATATTATTATTATTGCTATTATCATTCTTTATGAGCAAAGGAAAGAAAACCTTGGTGTTCATCTTTCAGGTGAAACTTAAATTATTCCATTGTTTTATGTTGAACCTAAATGATGGCAAGGTTCCTTATATCAATTTCCTCACCAACAACGGATGGTTTTCCAAAATGAATGTAAAAATTGAAATTGATTTACACAATTGAAAACAGAAGGCGCCAAGGTTGACTAACCAAGAATGAAGGCAGCTATTGTATGTATTACATAGTTAGATAGTAGGTAGGGTTAAATAAAGACACAGCTCCATCTACCTCAACCTATATATGTGTGTATGTGAGTACATGTCGCATACAACTTCCATAACCCTGTATATTTTGTATGAGCAAAGGAAAGCAACCTAGGTGTTCATCTTTCACGAGAAGCTTAAATTACTCCATTGTTTTCTGCTGAACCCAAAATGATGACAACATTCCTCATATCAATTTCCTCACCATTAATGGCTTGTTTTACAAAATGAATGTAAAAATTCAAATTGATTTACAGAATTGAAAAGAGAAGATACCAAGGTTGACTAACCAAGAAATAAGGTAGCTATTGTATAGTAGATTTCAATGAATTCCGATATCAATCACTTGACTCAAATAATACTACATATCGTAATGCATTTACACAATACATACTGTCCTTTCCTATATTCATGCCCTTATTAGGAAATATTATATTAGAAAGATAGTATTGATAAATTATATTCCTTATAGTAATCAGTTATGGTTTCATTCTCCTGCTCTCCAAACCTGAAACAAATTACAAATCCTGGAGACCGTTATCTGGGGTCTCCTCCCATTCATACAATATAAACCTTACAGAAACTGTTAGTTCAGTCCAGTGTAACATCCTTTAGCAATGCTTGGGCAGAACGGGTAGACTGAGTAAGAGAAGAGTTTTCCTCCTTAAGATAGAAAGTTCTGGTAACCAAAGACAATTGAGGATGGAACTTCGGTTCCTGTGATCCCTTGTCAATAACACAAACTCCAGTGTCACCTATGCACCGGTGGTGGTGGGGTAGAGGAACAAGATAGACTGAGACTCCTTATAATCAGAGGAGTTGTATCCATGTGTGACCGGATCCAGTGAGCGCTGGACTCTGGACCAGCCAATCCATGATGGGTGCCGAGTGTACGTGATCTTTTGTGATGGTTTAGAGCAAACAAACGTCGGAGCTTTTATTGTATTGGAACTTTCATTTGATGTGTACATAGGGCCCCTCATGTGACTTTTCTATAGTGGTGAATTCTCCATCTCATTCTTCATTAGATCTCATTCACCTCACTGAGTCACAGTTTTCATTTTGTCTTCTTTTTCTTTCCATGAATGCAAATCATCGACAGAGACCAAAGATGTTCACATTGAAGAAGTCCCTGTTCCTGGTTTTCTTTCTGGGGATGGTCTCCTTATCTCTCTGCAGGCATGAGTAAGTATGTGTGAGCTGAACTCCGGGCAAGTAACTAAACACATATATGGGAGTATTTTACCGACCAAAGAATTTGTATAGCTGTCCATCCAGCCCAGATTATAACAGCTCTGCCCTACAGCACAGCCCTACCTGACAGGGCAGGAGACCGGATTTCTCCCTGCTGCAGTTTAGAAACACTTACTTATCCCTCCTCGAGCTTGTGACTGCACAGTGAAAGGAGAGGCAGAAGACTGATGAGCTCCTCTCTCTGTCACTTTGCTCTCTCCTCCTATCAGCATGTGGCATACACTGCGGCACAACTGATTTATTGATGTATTGATTATTACGGAGCTGCATTAATGTATGTCCTTTATATCTGGCTGGAGTTCAGGTATTTGGTGTACGCCAGTAAAACGGGAAAATCTATTCTGGTTACACATCTTCTCATTGAGTCAACTCCTTAGCTCAGCCCCTTCCCTCCTTACATGTCATGTCCCCTTCTGGGAGTGTCTTATCAATATCTGTGCTGTCCCAGCTCCTCCATCCCTCCCCTCACCTTTCTACATAATCCTTTCTGTAGCTGCTGGAGGAGCTATAGAATACTGTACAATGTTATGTGAGTGACAGCTCTGTGTATGTTGGGGTTAATGACATCTCATCCAAGATGGCGGCACCCAGCACATGTTTTTGGTGCCTACACACGGGAGGATTTTACAGGTAAATAACTTCAATAAAATCCATTCAGTGACCATATAAAAATACTTTTGTTGACATGAGTGGTCTGGTGACAGGGTCTCCTATAGAGTCCAGGGGACATAGTTGTCCAATTTGTCCAGGTCAGGTGAAGATATCAAGTCAATGGAAACAATTGAGATCCAGGGTGTGGAAGGATCATACCTCAGTAGGGATCAGACCCTATATGAAGTCCTGAAGCAGATAGTCCCAGTCCTGAATCCACCCTCCACACCTCTAATATCCAGCTTATCTGCATCTTACCTAGGATAAGGTGATGGGAACTCTTGATAGGAAATCTGTTGACATCCCCTCTTCATGCTTCCTTCTAGTTGGGTCCACTTGTTGATGAGAAAGTTCTGTGCCATAGTGCAGAACACATCAGAATCTTCCTGCTGGCTATTCAATAAAGGATTCCAGTCTGTGGCCTCCCTCTGTGCCATTTTCCTTCTAGGATGCGGTCATAGAATAGATCCTGAACATCACATTTGGCATTTTCTGTCCCCTAAGAAATCCTGCTTGTGTACAATGATCAATGTTGCTTTGTTTGACCAGAACTGTGTCTTCTCCTAGGAGCCACGCCGATAAAGAGACCAGCAATGATCCCACAGAGGAGGAAAATGCAGCCGGAAATGAGGAAAGAGGAGAGGAAGGAGGCGTGGAAAAGAGATTCATTTTGCCTTTATTGTGTAAAATACTGCGCATATGTTAATCTTGAATTGGAAGTCATTTGATGTGCAGTAGCATTTGTGAACATGCTAAACAAATGTGTTATAAAAAGAAAAATGTACTCAAAATGGCTTCTGGGATTCAATGCATACAGCAAAAGGCTTTGAAACGTCTATCTATCTATCTATCTATCTATCTATCTATCTATCTATCTATCTATCTATATTACCTTTTGGCCTATTTCTGATTTTTGCCATGTGATTCTTCTGTAATTTTGGACATCTGAGATATTTGGAGGGACACGATCAGTATTGATATTCATGGCTTTTCCAACCAACAAAACCTATGACCAAGGCTCTGTGCCAAGTCTGAAAACATCCGAGTTGCTGAAAAGTCTCTATGAGTCATAACAGACATCTGCAGTTGACCAATGAATAAATCTGATACCAATTCCATATCTTAGATGTTATCACTATAAATGATGATGTAATAATGTAATAAATCAGACGAGCTACAGCATACATTTGGTGTCTGTGTGTGTTGGTCTCCAATATCGCGATATTTCATCATAATTTGAGCCCACAGGTTATTGGTGAGCAGGTTTTGCACCTGCACTTAAAATGTATTACCGTGTGATGGATTTTCTTCTTTTTTCTCAACGATGAATCTACTATAATTGGGGGGAAACCAATTCTGACTCTCAGATGACACCACTCACGCTTAGATGACACCACTCAGGCTTAGATGACACCACTCAGGCTTAGATGACACCACTCAGGCTTAGATGACACCACTCAGGCTTAGATGACACCACTCACGCTTAGATGACACCACTCACTCTTAGATGACACCACTCACTCTCAGATGGGACCACTCACTCTCAGATGGGACCACTCACTCTCAGATGGGACCACTCACTCTTAGATGGGACCACTCACTCTTAGATGGGACCACTCACTCTTAGATGGGACCACTCACTCTTAGATGGGACCACACACTTTTAGATGGGACCACTCAGCTTCATGCCTTTTTACCATCCATCAAAACAGGTACAGAGTGAAGTACTCACCCCCGGAAGGTGCCACTGGATAATTTGGTCTTCCATAGATTGTCTAGGGTTTCTAACAGTATAGCTACCCCAATAGTACTTACCGCCTGTGACAGATTGTACTGTCCAAGGGGTGAGGTCATTGCTGGCTACTATGTTAGCAATAGGTTGAAATAGGCGGTCAGTTAAAAAATGGGTTAACTCACCTAAACAGGGTGTGGACAGAATGAATAGATTGTATGTATTATAAAAGCCAGTGCTCAGGCGTATTGCTCTCTCTGAGCCCAGCCAAGGCATAGAACCAGAAGAAGGACTTGCAACGTAACGTATTATCTTTGTCTCATTCCTTTATTGTCTTACTGATAATCTACATTTGTTTCTATTTTTATTATTTTATTCTCTCTCCCCCTTGCCCTGTCTGGGGAGGGTTGCTATGGACTGTCTTATCTGGCTAGGCCTGAAGCCTAGGAGACCAAGCCATGTCCTCACACCGAGTCTGAGAGCCCAGTGACTGAAACTAAGGATGGAGATGACAGAGTAACTTCAGCAGGTTTGGGGGCCCTGAGAAGTGATCCTCTTCTGTAACTTGAGAGACAGAGAAATAGAGACAGACAGAGAGATACACCTCCAATATAGGAGTTCTAGCACAGCACTGTGCTGGAACTCCTGTGACAGGTGAGAGAGGAAGAGGGGAAGAGCACACCTCTCCCCTCTCACTGTGTACACCGAGCGTCAGGGTTAGTTTTAACCCTGCCGCTCTGCTCCCTGCAGTGAGGAGAGACTCGGCAGCCGGGGGAAGGACGGAACCAGAGGAGAGAGGTACCGTAGATGCGGGGGGAGGACAGACAGGCTGCACACATTTTACACGTGATCGCGGAGACATCACCGTGATCACATGTAAACGAACAAGCGGCTTCCCCACACTACATTTAGTCCTGCCTTCCCAAAGCAGGACTAAATGTAGAAGGCAACTTACCGCCCGGCGCCCGGATTCCACACCGCTGCAGCACCTCTGCGCCCTGCCGCTCCGAGGCCTGGCCTCGGTGGCCTTGTGGGGAATCCGGGCCTGCATGTGGTGCCTATCTTTAAAAATGGATCAAAAAGTCTTCGCCAAGTATATACAGACCTGTAAGCGTAACTTCCATGGCTGGAAATATTCTTGAAAGTTTGATGAAGGATTACATGCACATGTTTTATGCTAGAAAATAACATTATAAGTGATAGTCGGCACGGATACACAAAAGACAGAAGTTGTCAAACACATCTACTTCCTTTTAATGAGGAAGTGAGCAATAAATTGGACAGAGGAACAGCTGTGGATCTGTAGGTATAGAGCATTCAGTCTGTCATTGGATAGAAAACTGGATTAAAGACCAAATTCATAGAGGGGGGATCAATGATTCATACTCTCTCTGAATGGTCTGAGGTTGTTAATGGTTTCCCCCAAGGTTCAGTGTTAAAGATGTCCCCCAAGGTTCAGTGTTAAAGATGTCCCCCAAGGTATAGTGTTAATGGCATCCCCCAAGGGTCGGTGCTAGTGGCGCCCCCCAAGGGTCAGCATTAGTGGTGCCTCCCAAGGGTCAGCGTTAGTGGCACCACCCAAGGGTCAGCGTTAGTGGCACCCCCCAAGGGTCAGCGTTAGTGGTGCCCCCCCAAGGGTCAGCGTTAGTGGCGCCCCCCAAGGGTCAGTGTTAGTGGCGCCCCCACAAGGGTCAGTGTTAGTGGCGCCCCCCCAAGAGGTCAGTGTTAGTGGTGCCCCCCCAAGGGTCAGTGTTAGTGGTGTACACCAAGGTTCAGTATTAGGTCCCTTACTGTTTAATCTACTGTGGCAGTGTAAGCCAATGCCACGGTGGAGGATGGCGACCTTGGCACCCAGGACTCTCAGCCAAAGGGGCTGAGAGGGTCCAGAAAGTAAAGCATGTTATTAGGAAGAACCTGGCTTTTCAGGTTCTTCCAGGTTTTTCTAAATGTAGCTGGGATCTGGAGCTCTGGAGATCTCTTAGAGCTCTGGGTGGGATGAGATCTCCAGTCCTGGGGCCAGGTGTTACCAATGACCAGTATAGCTGGATCAGGTGGCTGAGAGCAGCCTTATTAGGAAGCCAGCCCAGTGCTCAGGGGAGTGTTGGAGTTGTGTGTGCGCATGGAGCACACGGACACAGACAAACTTGGGTGCGTGCTGTACGCACACGGAACAGCCAGGGGTGGCTGGGAGAGGTCAGGAAGGTCGGTGACCCCAGGGACCTGTCGGACGCACTGCTGGGAGAGCAGAGCGAGTGCCCACGAGGGGAGAGGTCAGGAAGGTCGGTAACCCCAGGGACCTGTCGGACTCACTGCTGGGAGAGCAGAGCGAGTGCCCACGAGGGGAGAGGTCAGGAACGTCGATGACCCCAGGGACCTGTCAGATGCACTGCTTGGAGAGCAGAGCGAGTGCCCAAGAGGGGAGAGGTCAGGAAGGTCGGTGACCCTAGGACATGTGGTACACACTGCTAAGAGAGCAGAGTGAGGGCTCACGAGGGGTGAGAAGCGTGGGTGTCTTGAAGCTGTGGAAAGCTACGGAGCCATATAAAGGACTGTCTTTTGTTGATGCTGCAAGCTATTTTGTTTGGCAAAATCCCATGTTTGTTTATCTCTGGGGTCTCAGACAATACATCTCCCCCTGGAGACGACAAACGTTTGAGCAACGCATCCCAATCTATGCTGTCTGGGTTCCCATCAAACGTATCCCATCCTTTCAATACCTCCCTCCAAGGAGACACCAATGGCTGTGTATTAGACGTTATCCCCTCAGTTACCATAACAGATGGGGTGTCCCTGTCTTCATACCCATCCTGCTGCTTTACCAGACTTCCATTACTCTGAGCTGGTGGCACCACCTCACCCAGCTGAACATTATCCGCATTACTGTTTTCAGCAATTTCACCGTTGACCCTTGTACCTTCGACCAAAGGCAGTGACATTACCAGATAATCCCACTTCTGACACCACTTGTAACAAGGACACTCCACTGTAGTCCAGGTAAGTCAAGTATAAGGCAGTTTAGTAAAGGGCAAACACAAAATAGCTTGCAGCAGCAAATTAAGACAGTCCTTTATATGGCTCTGTAGCTTTCCACAGCTTCAAGACACCCACGCTTCTCACCCCTCGTGAGCCCTCACTCTGCTCTCTTAGCAGTGTGTACCACAGGTCCTAGGGTCACCGACCTTCCTGACCTCTCCCCTCTTGGGCACTCGCTCTGCTCTCCTAGCAGTGCGTCTGACAGGTCCCTGAGGTCACCGACCTTCCTGACCTCTCCCAGCCACCCCTGGCTGTTCCGTGTGCGTCCAGCACGCACCCAAGTTTGTCTGTGTCCGTGTGCTCCCTGCACACACACAACTCCAACACTCCTCTGAGCACTGGGCTGGCTTCCTAATAAGGCTGCTCTCAGCCACCTGATCCAGCTATACTGGTCATTGGTAACACCTGGCCCCAGGACTGGAGATCTCATCCCACCCAGAGCTCTAAGAGATCTCCAGAGCTCCAGATCCCAGCTACATTTAGGAAAACCTGGAAGAACCTGAAAAGCCAGGTTCTTCCTAATAACATGCTTTACTTTCTGGACCCTCTCAGCCCCTTTGGCTGAGAGTCCTGGGTGCCAAGGTCGCCATCCTCCACCGTGGCATTGGCTTACACTGCCACACTACTTATAAACAATATAGAGTTGGGGATTAAAAGTACCATTTCTGTGTTTGCAGATGACATCAAGTTATGTAGTGGAATACAGTGATTCTCCAACCTACAAGCAGACCTGAATGCACTGTTTGGCAAATAGAGGTTTATTGTTGATAAATGCCAAGTTTAGCCCCCTTGGGGACTATAAACGTGCAAGCATCATGCACTCTAGTGTT